GAACTGGATTATATGGCAGTGTAGACTCATAAAATCCAGTTCAAAGCAGATAATCTGGATTATATGGCAGTGCAGAAGGGGCCTAAGAGATGACAGTTTGAATCTCCACTCACCCATGGAAACCTGCTTGGTGACATTGAGCAAGCCACACTCTCTTCGCCTCAGAGGAAGCCAAGGCCAAACTCGCTGACAAATTCTGCAATGAAAATCCCATGTAAACCTAAGAGTCACCTTAAGTCATAAAAGGTTTGAAGGTGCATAACAACACCAACAACAATAGTGTCGAGATCAAGGGGCACCATATTTCCACTCTATTCTGCATTATTCAGGCCTCACCTGGGATATTGTTCTGGGACAAAAATTCAAGAAGGATATTGAAGGGTTGGGATGTATCCAGAGAAAAGCAACCAAACTGATCAAAGACCTGGAAATCAAGTCCTATGCGGAGTGGCTGGATATGTTTAGCCTGGAGAAAAGAAGGCTGAGAGGGGACAGGACAGCCAGGTTTAAATATTTGAAAAGATGTTATACTGAAGATTAGCACACAGGACAATGGATTCAAATTGCAGAGGGGAAAAGAGTCCACCTAAACATTAAAGAACTTGCCAGTAAAAGCTGTTTAGCAATGCTGCTTTGGAGTCTAGTGTCCCCTTCTCTGGGGATGTTTAAGCAGAGGCTGGATGGCCAGCTGTTGGGAATGCTTTGATTATGTTTTCTTGTATGGTTGGACTGGATGGTCCTGGTAGTTTCTTCCAACTCTATAATTCTGTGATTCTACATTTCTAACAAATGATCTCAGTTATATTAGCCACTTAACAAGAACTGTCTGGATTTTATTTAGCCAACCGACAATCACTAGCAAGTCCAACACAACTGACTTCTCCTGTCCTTTCCAATGTTATGAAGATTATTATACCAGAGAATCTGGGAATCATAAATGGGTACTAAAGGAAATCAGTCATAGAAGCCAAGATGACCAAACTGAAATTGTCATAATTTGGACTCTAGAAAAGAAAGTAATGTTTGTAAGGTAGACAACAGTAGGAAAAGAAGATCATATCACAGATGGATGGACTCAGTCAAGAAACCAATAGCCCCGAATTTGCAAGGCCTGTGTTCATGAGACTTCATAAGACTTCATCCCACTGAGCATGTCAAGTGTTTGGAAGAGTAGAGTATCATACAGCTCAGGCATACTCCATTTTGAAATTAAATGGATGATTTTCCTACCTCCATCACACAATAGCAAACTATCCATTTTATTCAGACATTTTATTTTGCTACCACATTGTAGAGAGTTCTTACCACTCACTGTCCCTCCCCCGTTTTCTTTGTGAAAAGAAACACCTCCTCTCCTGGACTATGATTTTTGTTCCTGGGTTACAAATGTCATTTCCTAATTGGTTCTATCATAAACACATGGAAAAGTTTATTAAACTGCAAAAAACTTTGCCTTTGCAGGCAGGACATCCTGCTATAGCACATTTTGCTCTAATTTCTCAATGATTGAATATCAGGTAGAGCGGTGGTTCCCAACCTTTTTTTGACCAGGGACCACTTGACAAGGGACCAGTTTGACCAGGGACCACTCTCCAACATTGGTACCAAAAGGATTGCGAATCAGTTTTTGGTCAACTTTAGATTCAATTTAGTTATTTGGGGTGCTGATTCAAAAAATTACATTGGATTGACCACATCAGTTCTAGTTTCTGATATAGAACATATGCCATACAATAGTTGCCATTGACTCGCCCACAGAAAACCATATTTAATATCTAGATCTGATGTGGTAGTCATAATCTTTCATGGGTAATCAGCCTCTTCCCTCCCAATATCCTCGTTCCCTCAGCACTATAAAAGGGTTTCGTGAGACCAGTTGTTCTCGTTGCTGCGTGGTTTCAAGGCAATGGTATAGTAATGATAAGGCCGCGGACAATATTTTCATTCTTGGGGACCACTGGTGGTCCATGGACCACAGGTTGGGAACCACTGTTAGAGTCTTCACCTATTTAACATAGTTTGTGGACACAAAAACCAAGTTTCTGGAGCACACCAACTACTTTAAAAGTAAGGACTACACAATTAAACAGGAAATAACACAAATTAGGAACATATTTTCATTATTATTATTATTCAGAGGCAGGATGGTCATATGTCGGGATGCTTTGATTGTGCTTTTGTTACATAGCTGAAAGAAGGGGGTTGAAATAGATGGCCTTTGCGGTCAACCGGAGGAGAAGGAGGGAAGGAGGCATCTGGGGGAGGTAACACATGGCACACACAACACAGAGAAGGAAGGAAGGCCACCAGAAGGTGCATGAGACAAAAAGGATCACAATATACGGCTGATCTCTTCCCTCCTCCATGAGCAAAAGGTAATGGTGGAGCTTTTTCTCAAAGGGGCATTTTGGCTCCTCCCACAAATTGCCTAACTGTATCATTTTAATGCTGAGAACAAATGCTATCACACGACAAAATTGGCCATTTTACTCAAATCTAACCAGATAATCTGCAAAAAAAGTTACTTGCTAACAAGCTTAGAAGGCATCTCAGAGATAACCTTTTGCATTTTTTTCACCCACAAGATATTTCTACCCTACACTTGAAGCCTGCGTCATATGATGAACCCAGTAGGTTGCCATTTTTAAGTGGATGGCTCAGTAGTATTTAAGGAATGTGATGAAGTGGATAGTGTCCTGTAATTCAAAGTCAATTTGAGAGCAATTATCAAAAACAAACCACTCTTGCCAATAGCCACTCTGCCCCCTAAAGGCCACTGTCATGCAAATGATACTCAAAAGATACAAAGATCTATGAAATAATGCCAAAACTTCAGGTTAGGATATCCTTTCCAAAAGACAACAGTTCCTCTCTTATGTCAAGTTCACATTACCATGGAACTTCTTAAAAAAAAACTAGTCTGGGCTTCCCATTCCCACCAATGAAAGAGAATAAAAGCAAAACAATATGTAGGTCAAAGTTTACCATAGTTTATAGAGGGGGGAATCAATGAACAAGCACCAATTTTTCCAGAACAGGGAAATTGAAATGCAATGTGCTAATCAGAATATCTGGTTCTTAAACAAAGAATAAAACACTCATCTGTAATCACTTGAATTGAAACAATATTTTAAAGGGTTGTTGTGAGTTTTCCGGGCTGTATGGCTATGTCCCAGAAGCATTCTCTCCTGACGTTTTGCCAACATCTATGGCAGGCATCCTCAGAGGTTGTGAGCTCTGTTGGAAACTGGACATTCCAGATATATAAACCACACTTGCCTAGTTTCCAACAGACCTCACAACCTCGGAGGGTGCCTGCCATAGATGTGGGCAAAATGTTAGGAGAGAATGCTTCTGGAACATAGCCATACTGCCCAGAAAACTCACAGCAACCCAGTGATTCCGGCCATGAAAGCCTTTGACAACCTAATATTTAAAAGAACAAACATTCAAGAATATTATGGTTTTTACTTGAATATTATGGATTTTCCAAGAATATTATGAATCTTACAAAAATATTGTGAATTTTACATTTTGAGACAAGAAAAAAACCCCACACAAACCAATATTTTTTCCAATTTGAACAGATTTAGAAAGCACTAAGTAATGAAATCTCAAAACTAAAATCTTGGAGAATAACACACACAAACTGTGCCTTTGCAAATTAGGTCAGCATGTTGCAACGCGAAGTGCTAGAGAGACACACCTCATTTTAAAAAGGACTTATTTAAGCAACAGGGACTGTAGTGGCTCCTTCTAGTCTACCCATCTAATATTGCACATCATTATATCCACATCATAGAGACTTCTGACATAAATCTTGTGAAGGCTTTGACATCCCATTCAAAACGAGGGCCTGAGAGCTTGTCCATCCTGTCAATAGCCAGCCCTGAGTGTGGTGGAGGCTCCTTCTTTGGAGGCCTTCTTTGGAGGCTGGATGGCCATCTCTCTGGGGTGCTTTGAATGCCATTTCCCTGCTTCTTGACAGGGGGTTGGACTGGATGGCCCACAAGGTCTCGTCCAACTCTAGGATTCTATGACTATCAAAGAGGCCAGAAAATTGGCCTTTGGATCTGAAAAAGACTCCTAACATCAAAACCATGCGCCTTGTTCATAGACCGTGAAGGGATCCCATTGGAGGCCCTTCATCCCTGCTGTAAAAGCTTCCTGCCTCTTGGCCTTGATGTGATTTCTCATTAAAGAACAAGGGATGCCCTAAAACGAGCATGTTTTCATTCAAACAGGATGGGGGGGAAAGAGCCACCATCTGCTGTAGATCTATCAGGTGGGGCTGAGAATCGCTCCTAGGGCAATGCACGGTTTTGTGGGCGATCTGGGCCCAACCACATGTGTTTTGTCATGATTGAGAACCAAAGGAAAGCTCCTTTTGGGAGGGGTCCACCTCCCAAGGCAGGCAGGAGCTGCTCAGCCCCAAACTCTGTCTCCCTCCCAAGAGAGAAGCCCCCTCCCAAGCCTTGACAATGGCGCCTTCGCAGCGAGAAGGGAAGGATGTCAATGCGAGGGGGTGAGAAAATAGGGTGGGGAGGGGGCTCCCCTTAAAAAGACCCCCGTTTCCTGCTTCTGCAAGGCTAATGCGGGACAAAGGAAAGTGATGGGTATTTCCCCCAGCCTCCCTTGTCTTCCCCAGGCTGGAGGGCTTTGCGTAAAGCGGATCGGGAGGGGGAGGAAAAAGGGGGGGGTGTTGCTTGATCCTGCCCAGATCCGAAACTGTAACATGCGGGAGCCAAGGAGGGGAGGATATTGGATACTGGGGGAAGCAAAGGGAAGGAGGAAAGGGGGAGAGAGAGACCCCCCAACCTCATCCAATACCCAGGGGATAGTGGATACTGGGGGAAAGGAGCAAGGGGAGAAAGGGAGAGGGAGACCCCACCAGCCTCATCCTAGACCCAGGTTCCCCCTCTCAATCTCAACCTCAACCCCCTTCCCCCCCTTCCGCGCAGGGTTGGAAAGCGGGGGGTCCCCCTCCGATCCGGACTCACTTTGTCGATGGTGCCGGGGAGGAGGCGGTCGAGGAGCCTGCAGAGCACCACGCCGTCCTTGAGCGAGGCCTGCAGGAAGCCCTCCGGGTCCGAGATGCTCTTCTTGGGCGACTCCAGCACCCCCAGGGTGATCAGCCATGTAACGGTCTGCTCCGCGGAATTCATGGCTGCGGCGGAGGAGGCCAAGCAGAGGAAAGGAGGCGAGGCGAGGCGAGGGGAGCCAGGCCCCGGAACCCTTTATCCCAATCCAATTCCAAGGAGGGGGCAGCAGGGCTGCACAAATAGCACGGTTGGGGTCGCCTAATTTCTCAATAATCGGAGGGGGGGGGGCGGTTGTTGTCTGTGGGAAGACCCCTCTGCCTGCCTTGCCTGCCTGCCTCCCTCCCTCCCTCGCTCGGCAGCCAGCCCACCTTCCTCCCGGGCTTCACATGGAGGAGGCGCCCCGCTCCGGGCCTGGCTGCCTCCTCCTGGCCATGGAGCCGCGGGGGGCCGGCCCGGTTCCTCCCTCCTCCGGAGCCTCTGGGCCAAGGGACAGGCGCCTCCTCATTACAGGCACACACGGACCTGCAGGGCCGCCGCCRCCGCCGCCGCCGCCTCTATCCTCCTCCCTCCTCCTCCTCCTCCTCCTCTTCCCCTCCTCCCTCCCTCCTGCTGCCTCTCCATGACATCATTGAGGAGGGAGGGGATGGGGAGGGGAGGGGGAGAGGAGGAGGAGGAGGAGGAGGAGGAGGAGGAGGAGGCTCAGCCCCCCTCCTTTCCTCCAGGAGCCCCCGCATAAAAGCCGCCACCCTTGCCTTGGCCAAGGCGCTGAGGATGGAGGGATGGGTGTGGGTCACCCTTATGGGCACCCGCAGAGAGACCAGCCCCGCGTCTCCAGCTCTGCGCTGCGAAATCTGCCCCCCCCCCCCGCCCTCAAAACCGGCGTCCATGGGATCCCTTTGCTTCGCTTTCCATCCCGAGGAGGGCGGGGCGGGGGGGGGGAGGATAGATGTAGATAGGTAGGTAGGTAGGTAGCTCTACAGACAGATCTAGGTAGATAGGCAGACAGACAGACAGACCTAGGTAGAGAGGTAGGTCTATACAAATAGACAGACAGACAGATAGGTCTGTGTAGATAGATAGATAGATAGATAGATAGATAGATAGATAGATAGATAGATAGATAGATAGATAGATAGATCTAGGTAGATAGGTAGGCCTGTATAATTGACAGATGGACAGATAGATATATCTAGGCCTACAACTCCCTGAAATCCAAGCCAGTTTACCAGCTGTTAGGATTTCTGGGAGTTGAAGGTCAAAACATCTGGGGACCCACAGGTTGAGAACCATTGCTAGGTAGATAGGAAGGTCTGTAAAAACAGATAGCTAGCTAGCTAGATCTAGGTAGACAGGAAGGTCTGTAAGAATAGACAGACAGATAGATCTAGGTAGGTAGGTAGGTCTGTATAGATAGATAGATAGATAGATCTAGTTAGATAGGTAGGTCTGTATATATAGAGGATCAATTGATAGATAGATCTAGGTAGATAGGTAGGTCTATATAAATAGAGAGATAGATAGATAGATAGATAGATAGATAAGAGGTAGATAGGTAGGTCTGGGACCAGAGTGAAGAGAGAGGGGCCAGGAAGACAGTTCCACCTCATCTCCTGCGCTATGCTAAATAATTTAATATAATATACATATACATATAATATTTATAATATTATAATGTAATACAATATAATAATACTACTACAAATAATACGTTATTATAATTATATATTTTATATTACATGTAAAATTGCTATATTGTACTGTACCATTGTATTGTAATATTACAATAAGATGGTGTAGTACAATATGTAATATATAATACTGATATTGTGCTATGCTAATAATATAATATATTGTATGTATATATATCTTGTAAGCCGCTCTGAGTCCCCTTCAAAGTGAGAAGGGTGGCATATAAATGTCATAAATAAATAAAAACAGATAGGTAGGTAGATAGGTAGGTAGATAGGTAGATAGATAGATAGATAGATAGATAGATAGATAGATAGATAAGAGGTATATAGGTAGGTCTGTAAAAATAGACAGACAGATAGATAAGAGGTAGATAAGTAAGTCTGGATAGATAGTTAGATAGATAGATAGATAGATATAGATATAGATAGATGTGGTAGGTAGGTCTGTAAAAACAGATAGATGGATAGATAGATCTAGGTAGATAAGTAGGTCTGTATAGACAGATAGATCTAGGTAGATAGGTAGGTCTATAGAAAAACACAGACAGACAGATAGATAAGAGATAGATACGTAGGTCTGTATTGATAGGTAAATAGGCAGATAGAGTAGATGGATAGAGTTGGGCAGATAGAGAAATAGACAGATCTCGATCAATAGACTGATAGATAGATCTATGTATCTAGTTAGAGAAATAGATGGCTAGATCTATGCACATGGGTAGATAAATGCACATGCGCTCCCTCCTCCTATATACATTGCGCACCGCACACCAATAGTCGCATCCCGCCAGGTGGCTGAAACACCATGTTAGAGGGAGGAGGGGGGTGTAGCGGCGGCGGAGGCGGCCTTGGTGCGCCTCCCACGACGTGAACCAAACAGATCCACCCAGCTGTCACTTTGCAGCACCAGAATCCGAATTCAATGGGCAACCCGTTGCCCAAACTGTCAAGCGCTTGACATACGATCTCTCCAATTCATTTCAAGAGCACTAAGGGAAAGAGGAGCGGCGGGGAGGGGGTGTTATTTCAGCGGAGCCTCCTCCCCACCCCATCCCGTCGACCGACCATGCGGATCCCTCCCGGGCCACCTGAAGGAGCGGGGGAATCTATCGGTCACGAATTAGATTTCGGGTCTGTATTCAGCAGGCTGGGATCCGGCCTCGGGCGCCCCCTGGCGACGAATTGCTTTGAGCAAAGGCGCGAGTGAATGAGCTCATCCCATGGAAATAGCAGCAGCAGCAGCTAGAGGTAGGAAAGGAAAGGGGGGGGGGGGGCTTGGGCTTCTTCCTTTTCCTGGCGGCAGAGAAACCTCACAGACAAATGAACTGGTTTCCTGTCTCTAGGAATAGATTTTTTAAAGGTATATCTTCTCCCCCCACTAAAAAAAAAAAAAAAACACTAAAAAGAGCAATAATTACCGATCTTAAAATACATGGAATCACTGATGCAATGACAAATAGCTTCCTCCCTAGTCTAAAAAGATTTGAAAATAGACTACCAAAAGCATTAGAAATACAAATTGTTCATTAAACAGTTCCAAATGGATTAAACGTATGGGCATCTTGGCCTGATGTAAACATCAAAGCAAACTTTCACAAACATATTATTATATGTATATGTATTTATATCAGGCATGGGCCAACTTGGGCCCTTCAGTTGTTTTGGGCTTCAACTCCCACCATTCCCAACAGCCAATAGGCTGCTCATGCCTGATTTATATCCTGCTTTCTCGCTCTAAAATGAAACCCAAAGTGGCTAACAACACACACACAAAAACAATACATTACACAATTTAAAACCTCAAAAACTTAACACTAAAATAGGATTAAGATAGGAGGACTTGTCACTGCAAGCTATTGTTAATTTTGCCAACTTCATGATATTCATGGGGGGCAATTTCTTTTCCTCTATTGCATCCTTAAATATTAAGACTGTTTGTGGATTGTGGGGCAGTTGAAGCTGTAGGGCAGAAGGACCTGACAAATGTTCTGTAACAAATAACTGAGATAATTCAAATAGGAACCATGTAGATCAGTGATTCTCAACCAGTGGTCCATAAGAACTAAAATATGGTCTGCAGTCTCACCATTACTACACTGCTGCAACAAGAGTGACTGGTATCGCAAAACCCTCTTATAGTGCCAAGGCTGATTAAATATGGTTTTCTGTGGGTGAGCAGATGGCGTCTACTGGATGTCATACGTTCTGGATCACAAACTAGAGCTGATGTGGTCTATCCAATGCAATTTCCTGAATCACCACCCCAGATAACCAAAACGAATCTAAAGTTGACCAAAAACTTATTTGTAACCCTTTTAGTACTAATGTTGGAGAGTGGTCCCTGGTCAAGTGGTCCCTCGTCAAAGAAAGGTTGGGAACCATTGGTATAGATAAACAGTGTGGTTACACATGTCTAAGTTACAACAAGTAAATGGACAAAAACTATCAAGTTTACAAAAGGATCAACAGGACAGAAGAGTGCTGAGTCTTCATCCCTTGATGCACACATTTTGTTGATGTGATTGTTGTGTGCCTTCAGGTCATTGATGATATAGGGTGATCTTAAGGTTTACTTTCCCCATCCATTACTGGTGTAATCCTTAAATACGAAGACTATTATAATCATAGTGTCTACTGAGAATTGTTCCCCCAGATGTCCAATGTACTTCATTCCCAAGGAACGGCACAGAATGGATTGCAGACAACTTTTTTTTATTCTGGTCAACCCTAAGGTGATCCTATCATGGGCTTCTCTTGACAAGATTTATTGAAAGTATTTTGCCATCAGCTCCCTCTGGGGCTGAAAGAGTAGGACTTGCTCATGGTCACCGACAATTTTCTATGACCAAACAAAGTGGAGTCCATGACATGTGAGTGTAGAGAAGAGCAAATCACAGACCACCTAATACACCCCCTATCAACCCCAGAGTTCCCTCCGTTCTGAGGACCAAGATCTATTGGAAGTCCCCAGTGTCAAGACCTTGCGTCTAACAGCAACGAGACGCAGAGCCTTCACAGCAGTGGCCCCATCACTCTGGAATACTCTGCCACCTGAAGTCCGTGCCTTGCGGGACTTACCAGCTTTCCGCAGAGCATGTAAGACATACCTGTTTCGACAGGCTTTTAATGTTTGATATTGCTGTTTTTAAATTGTTTTAAATTGCTTTTAAATTTTGTTAGATTTTAGCTATTCTTGTAAGCCGCTCCGAGCCCCAAGGGAGTGGCGGCATATAAGTTCAAATAATAAAATAAATAAATAAATGCGGCTCAAGCCCTGCCACAGTGACACCAGAGGCACTCCAGGTAGCCAGCTTCTGGTCAAAGGAAATCTAGCATAATGCCAAGTTTTTAACTTTGTTTGTGTCTTAAATACTTTATAACTATACCGCTTCTGACATGATAAATTAATAGCATGGATTTGAACCCTGGTCCCCAGAATCCAGGCACAGCGCTCAAGTCACTATACCACATTGGCTTAATGACAATAGCTAAGT